TTACTTTTTACACTTAAGTTGATGTAAATTGATAGATAAGTTAAGAAGTGTATAAAGTAATTATTTACAAAAAGATACTCCCCACTAATTTTGATAAAGCTCAAATATATTATCGCGAATATTTTGGACAACTTTTCCTTGTACGTGTTGCCGTTGCTCGGACTTAGTTTCTGAAATATTCATGAAGCTGTTATTATTACAGTGAATTTTATCGCATACCATCGGTCGCTGTAATGTCGATACCCCCTAATATGTTACACATACAACATGACAATTACGCATAACATACGTTCATCTATCTATGATGAATAATATATTGAAAAATAGGACACCGTCTGTAATACCTCTTTGTAAAGAATTACCTTAAATAAAATGAAAACCATGTAGATAATTTATGTGATTCAAAATATGGACAATATTAAGCCAGAAATGTGTTGCGTACCTCACGTTAGCAGACTATCGCTGTGTACGAGTCCAGTTTCCCAAGGAAGAGGTGGCGGTGTATTAGCTAATGACGAAGAGGAACATCGGGTCATCGAACATCGATCTATTGAGCAACGCTCTAAACCTGTGAACAAACCGCGAATGTTATTTCTATATGTTTTTAAGGTTATCTTTATAATTAAGGAAAGATCGTTTTAATGTCATATTCTGAACTAAATGAAAATACACTAGAACCTCCGTTTTACATATAATCATTAGAGGCGTGCGAGAACTCGAAAATCTCAAGAACCTCGTGCTCGGTTCGAGTAGCGAAAGTATTCTATAAAACAGAATTGTCGGGATTTTCGAAGGTCCTTAGGAGATTAAAATTATACGAATTATCTGCTGAACAAACAGAACCATACATTTAATTAATTTAATTATGTTAAGAGAAAATATCTAAAAAATATTGGTTTTATGATTTCATTTTTTATATAAGAAATTACATATAAACAATTTATATTCGTTTTATTTAAATTTGTCTTAAATACACGTACAATTTGAGTACTAATTGTCTGTTGTTCTATTATGAGAAAATTCTTTTATACGGACACATTTGTTTCCCAATTAGTTTATATAATAACTGGTTCTACTGTATCAGTTATTACGTTGTTTTACTATGTTTCAAGTATGATTCTGATTGGATACCAGAAGTTTAATTATAAGTTGTTGTTATATACGATAACGTTTCCTAAAAGTATCATATATTTAACAAATCAGATATTCGTCTAATGGAAACATTAAAATAATCGCAGAATTATTTTTAGCTAAAATAGACTTCTTTATTAATAAAACCTGGGGTTGTTGACAAATTTCACACAAATGAAATATGGGATGACATACACGTTCTTTTATGACTTTTCGAAGTAGAGTATAGGATTGGAGTTTTGAGAGGGCGGAGGGTGGGGGTGGCAAACCCAACCCGGAACGAAAGTCGTCCGTCTCCAAAATCTTACCGGTTTCGACACGGAATTATCTTTCCTGAAAAGTTTTGGAAGGTCTCCTATTTTATTATTTCCTTTCCAATAAATAAATGAAAAGTACAACAGTCATCAGTTGCAAATCGTATCGCGATACTAACATTTTCTAACGTACAATATCTACTTATATATACTAATACCAATTACTATTAATTAATGAAATATCTTATTTCAAATTAGGCAAACTTTTGCACCCAATATTTCTTGTCGTTCGCAGCAAACACTAAACGCTGGTTTTTTATTCTCATGTAGATACAATTAGAAAATGAAAATAATGTTACAGTGCATAATAAAACCAGATATCGCTTGAATGAATTAATTTGGAGTAATAAAATATGATTATGCAATTGATTTTTATTTACATTTCATTGAAATGTTAATATTTAACAAAGAATTATTCCCGTGACAAAAGGAAAAGTTTATTTTAAAACAATATATATGAATTTTCAGTCAGTTTAATTTTATTCTCTTTTGTAATTAAATATTAAAATTATGTTCAACGAGATTTAAAGTATGCAGTCAATGTAAGCAATAGAATTATTTTTCGTCTAGAAATACTATGCTGCAAATAATAAATAAAGTTTACAAGAAATGTTTTTTACGGCGTATAAAAGCGTGAAAGGATATTTCAGCTCAATAAAGTTCTAGCTTCCTTCTATGCATGGTTGGCCGGTTCCCCGCATAGTTTAACGAAAACTATTCACTGTATGTAATATTATTTGAAAACACGAATGTTTCCAAACGATGAGAAATTGTTAACAAGTATATAAAGATATATGAGTTAATAGGTACAAATTTGATGCTATTTCATTATCTGAAATTTTGGAAATGCTTTTCTTTATTTAGAAAACACTTGTCTGGAAATGTAGTAAAATACTTTCTGGTTGTTTAACAAGAATATCAATTTTGTTATTTTTAACAACAGGCAAAACTTCGGCTGTAAAAGTATTGCGTTAAAATTAAACGGTTACGTGTGATGTAATTATTTCTTTCAGCACTTTATAATGATCAATCAAACTAATTCCAGTAACAGGAATTAGTCTTTTGATAGCATCCGTTACTGACTATTCTAAGTCGACTATTCTACCGTACGTCCATAATCGAAGATTTACACTCTATTAACAATCAGTTATATTTAATCGCTGAACACAAACGTCTTTTATATTCATTATTCAAATCTGTTTATTTATACTTAACTGTCTGTACATCGAACTTAACTTAATTTATATTACTAACAGAAATATATTAATAGCAAATGAAAGTAAAATAATTTATGTATTTTATATTGTCAATTATTACCAAAAGTGAATTCTAAGCATTTATTATTCATATAATAATAGAAAATCAAACATTTTATGCATCTATATTCGTAAAATAATAGAAAATCAAACATTTTATGCAGCGAAATATCAGTTCTCTCATTTATGCGCAATGTCAAATTTGATTTACCATAGGAGCGAATTCGATATTGCTTTACAGGAATGGTAATGCGTATCATCATTTACATAAAATTACCTACCTGAAATTCTGAGCGATATATGTATGCACGTAAATTTCGTTCTACAAAATTAATCGGTATAGGAGCGTGCATAACTTTTGTTGTTCGCTCGATGCACGAGATATGGAAATTATGGATATAAGTGTAATTTAGGGAAAGCAATTTTGAGCAGCCGTGAGAAAACTTGAACACTGTACAGGAAACATCATATAAGATCTCAAAGAATTTTAATTTAAGTATTTTATGATATCCTATTATTACGTTGGAGGAACAGTATAAAATTCCAAACTGTAAATAGTACTTGGAGAATACATATTACGAAGCTACTTGCGTACTTATTCTTTTTTATTTACGTTGACAAGATATAATTTAGATTTGTATAAATTTTTTTGCCGGCTATACAATAATTTTACTACCTATTTCATTAAGTATCTTTTTTACATACCTGATAAATCAACTCCTCCCATAATACAAACATCAAGACCGCCCGTGCTTGTCGCACAGCAATGTTGTTTCGGTCCTAATGGTTTTTGTCTACAAAGCACCTGTATAGACAAGAAATATGCAAATTATTTGTTACATCATCTACTGCAAATACAAAAATGTAACACGAAACAAGAACTATAATATGTTCGCACAATATACCATACTGTTATACCCGTAAATATTTTGTTATATATGTACCTTAAAATGTCTCATCCGTAAACATGTACCTAAGCTGTCTCATCCCTTATCTAAATCAATAGCCAGTCACCAAAATCACTATTACTCATTCTGAACCTTGTCATTTTCCAACCTTTTCCCACTACTTCTTCACATCCAAAGGTCATTTCTCTCAAAGCCCTTAAATAGCCCTACCCTCTCGTCCTGAGGCAGTCTTAGTCTTGGTCTCTTTATATTCACGTCAATTGTAATAAAGTTCTGTCTTTCCACGCAATGTTGATCCTTAATTATTAACCTTTGAGTGATACCCTAAATTCTGGTTTTAACTTCGAGAAGTGAACCACAACCGGGCATCACAATACGATACCCAGAACTAGTGCACAATCTGAATAATTGAAGTGGAAAAAAAAGCGCAGCTTCTTTTATAGTACATTAAAGCATACATAAAGTACATTTTATAGTACAAAATATTTAAGCTATATTATACAGGATGTTCCAGAACTAGTGTTAGGCCTTGAAATGTGGAGGAGCCATGGTGATTTTAAACAACTTTTTCCTTTGCAAAAAAGTTATCCGAGGCGTGGTTGTCGAGTTATTAACAAAAATTACCGACCAACCAGAGCATTCGTATACAAGGCGGGCAGGAGCACTATAACCGCCTATACTACCTACTATAACCGTAAAAAATAGAATGAATGGAAGAAATGGAATGAGGAGCGCGGCGACAAGACCACGCGCGAATCGAGTATCGATACTCACAATCAGCAGCGAAGATGTACGTAATCGCGAACGCACTATAGCAGCGATGCTCGCATTCGGCTCGCACTGCCTCGCAGCAGTGGGGCAGCGTTACCAGATTTTTACCCACGACGCTCGCTTCCCCTGTTTTTCGCCCGTATTTCGATCCCCACTACTATTCCCCTCATGCGTGCTCATGCGTGCTCATGCGCGTTCGCGAAGCTCTCCGCAGCGGTATGGTCCCCACCATGGTCGCGTCGTCCCCACTTTGCGGCCGTGGGTAAAAATCTGGTAACGCTGCAGTGGGGGCCGCCCGCAGTTTTTCATGATGTTACAGGCCGTGCCGCAGTGTTACAGGCGCTCCGCAGTGTGACGGGCTCCAGGCAGAAAGGTATCATGTTCGCCTTATCGCAAACTGCGGTTAGCCCAAGCTGCGAGGAGATCGGCCCGTCTTTCCGTCCTATACAGAACTCTGGGTCAATGTGCCGAAACTCGGTACTTGAAGATAAAACACATGGGTAGCAGTGATGTTTAGAGCAGGTCACTGACAGATATGGTCATGTGTTTTAGTTTCGAGTGTCAGACTTCGGCACATTGACCTACTGAAATTCTTCTTCTTAAAGAAGGACGATTAAGTTCAACTCTAATTCTCTTCCCATTTTTTTATAATTTTAGCTACTCTGTAATTTATACAGTTGTTTGTAATGCATCTCTGTAATTTGTAAAGCAGTAACACTAGTTCTGGCACACCCTGTATATAAGTATGTAAACAATGTACGACGAAATTATTATCAGTCCTATGCACTTCAGAGAAAAGTTAAATAATATGTTATGCCACCTGCCTTGGCGAGATTCTTAACCGAGCCGCATACTTATGTTGCCTATGTTGATATTTAATTATCATTAATTTTCCTTTTGACGATACAACAGATAGAACTACTCTGACAATTTATTCGATTTTGTTAAAATCGTTTTTTAAAGTATGTGTCCATTTGTGAATAAAGTATCGAGAGTTGCATTTAACCATCGGAGAAATGTTATTGCAATACTGAATTCTTTAGTATTCTGAGAGTAGTTATCGCAAAACTTAATATCAATAGTTAGTAGTACTATTTATTAAAAACCCGTTTAGAATGTTTCATAAAGAGTAATCGACAGATTGAAACATTTGACTTAATTTCAATATCTAGGGAACATCAAATGTTACAGGACAAGAATATGGAACTTGCATCCTTGTAAAATCTTCCGTGCGGCCGTATTTATTTCTATATTAGGGTACAAAAACCCATTTACTGTGACTTACCGAATTACTGTCATTTTAAATTGGTTTTATTTAAAACAACAAATAAACGTTATGAACTTATATAAAAACATTTGCGTAAAAAATCTCAATAGTTAACTTAAATTAAATTATCTTTTAAAATAATACAGTTATTTTCCCCATT